AATTTAAAGAACAATACACAAAACTCGGAAATAGCAAAACCTATTCATGAATTTAACTGCACGGCGCTCTGGTTTGAGATGGAAATAATACACAAAGAGAGGAACGATGTAAAGAGAGTAAAGAGTGTAAGGGAGACCGTGCGGATAAAGTTTCTAGGCAACTGCATAAGTCAGGCTTCACTGCGCATGGTTGAAAAAACCCCGAGACTGCGGGTAAACGACACAACACTAAAAAGTCTCTAATAGAAATAATCGAATGGGGGGCGAAGTTTGCATCTTGTAGGATTAATGAACAAAAAGTAAGGGCGCCAACGAGCTGGTGTACATTGCACATGGTTGAAAAAACCCCGAGACTGCGGGTAAACGACACAACACTAAAAAGTGTCTATAGATTGCAGTTTGGAAGCAATCAAAAAGCTTTTTTTTTTAATATATATATATATATTGTCACGGATGGTGACCAATAAACAATAAATAAACAGAAAGAAATAAACTTTTAATGTGGCGAACTTGTGCCAAAAATGAAAGGGTACAAAAGATAATAACGGAGCGTCGCGGGCGTCGAATTCGGCGTAGCTGCACAGTCGAACGCTGGGACGAACTGCCTGCTGCTTGCCAGGCGGAGCCGCTTTTGTACACGCGTTGGCTTCTGGAGCATTCGATGTAGAAGGTTCGACGCGTAGAACATTCTAACTTCGAATCTACTAGACTGTTCTCGAATTCACCAGAACACTAAATTAGAGGAATAAACAAAAGACACGTCGCTCCCAGGATTCGAACCCTAGCTTTTCGCGTGAGAGGCAGGCGCGATAACCATTAGGCCACGCGCGCGCTGCCTACTTGGCCAGCGCGCGCGGCAATATATATATATATATATATATATATATATATATATATATATATATATATATATATTTTTTTTTTATTTGCCATTTAGGTTGCTTGAAGTGCGACCTGCTTGTGATTTTCCAAAAACCTGTAAAACATTCTCGCTTTATGTGGTTCTCTGCGTGCATTGGCCCAACTACCGTACCAATGTTGTTGTTTTTTTCTTTTTTTTTTCTTTTTTTGTGGAGAGGGCGTGTTGTGATTCCGAAGTATGAACTGTGTTTAGAATAGTAGGGGAAGAAATCCTTTTGTTCAAGTTTGAAGGTGGATGGATTTGCCTTATCGCCTAAAATAACACCACAGACAGTACTGTGGTGTTATTTTAAATGCGATACCTCAGACAATTAAAACGACAAATATTACCGAGTTTAGGGCATCATTGCCCGTAGATACATGTTTGGACATTTCTCCGAAAGTGCCATATCTTAAAACGACACTTACCTAGGCTATACATAGATCATTCTTAAAAAGTTTAACATTTCTACCATAAATAGCTTCGGTTATAGCGCGCATCAAATATGGCACAAACGACAATTGTCAAAAACCCGTCGTCCTTCCTCGCTCCTTCGAAAATTATTATTATTTTTTTTTTTTAACTAAGCATGCCAGAAGTAGGAGGCGATCGTTCTCCTGCCCGCCGGTGACGCACGCGGGTAAGGAAAAGAGGGGATTTTTCATTGTTGCCCGCAGAGAGTCGCCAGCTGGAAACCTCGCGGCCGGCGTAACTTGAAAATTCAATAACTTCACTGAAAATTTTTATTTTTATAAACTATTTTGGCTATCAGTTGAGCAAGGGTTATTGATGCGGTCTGCCAATTTCCAGCCAAATCGAGTTCCCATTTAAACGCACCCCGCTACGCTTTATTACACCTTACAACATGCCTCAATCTCTGCAGACACTGTCTGAAGCTTCCTTGGGACGGTTCTCTAACATTGGTCGTACAACAGCTGTCTGCACTCTGCAGACATGTTGGAAACATATATAAAGAAAACATGCATCCGTGAGGCTTGACCAGTGATACTTATATCACAGTGTCTGTAACACACACCTGTCTTTTGTATATTGTAGAGGCATTCATCAACCGAGGTGAAACACAAGAAAACCGTGTCAAAGATTCTCAAAGTTCAATTTATTAAATATCTAACTGTACAAAATTATATACATATATACAACACATTCGTTCATTGGAAAAGACCTACGACACATGTGGGCACTCAATCCACTTCTTCAATCGTGGGTCCTCCATGACTGGGCGCACTCTGCTTAGTGCCCTGGTGCAGCTTGCTCATGATGGGTGAACAGTGCTGCTGCAGCTCCTTTAGCCTATGCTCGTACTCCTCCTTCTCGGCCAGAGTGTTGGAGTCGATCCAGGATATGGTGTCCTTGCACTTGTCCAGGACACTCTGCTTGTCGGAAGGAGAGAGTCTGTCTCCCGCCTCCTCTGCAGCCTGTTTGACGCCGTACACGTAAGACTCCAGTCCGTTCCGGGCGGTCACCTTTTCCCTCTGGAGTTCGTCCTCGCGCTTGTACTTCTCCGCATCGGCCAGCATACGGTCGATGTCCTCCCTGGACAGGCGGCCCTTGTCGTTGCTGATGCGGATGCTCTCTTGCCGACCCGTGCTCTGGTCCTTGGCCGAGACATGCAGGATGCCATTGGCGTCCATGTCGAAAGTCACTTCGATTTTGGGTACACCCCGCGGTGCAGGAGGTATGCCACTCAGGTTGAAAGTTCCCAGCAGATGGTTGTCCTTCGTCAAGGCACGTTCACCCTCGAACACCTGGATCGTAACGGCCGGCTGGTTGTCCGCGTACGTCGTGAACGTCTGCGACGTCTTACAGGGGATCCGGGAATTCCGTTCTACGATTTTAGTCATGACTCCTCCAGCGGTCTCGATGCCCAGTGACAAGGGCGCGACGTCCACGAGGAGCACGTCTCGAATGGCCTCGCTAGCGTCTCCACTGAGAACAGCAGCCTGCACTGCGGCACCGTAGGCCACCGCCTCGTCCGGGTTGATGCCCATCGAAAGCTCCTTTCCGTTGAAGAAGTCTCTCAGCAACTTCTGCACCTTCGGGATACGCGTCGAGCCACCTACAAGGACGACGTCGTGAATCTTCGATTTGTCCATCTTGGCGTCCTGCAGAGCACGTTCCACCGGCTCCAGGGTGCTTCGGAACAGGTCCATGCAGAGCTCTTCGAAGCGGGCCCTGGTGATCTTGCTATAAAAGTCCACGCCTTCAAACAGAGCGTCGATCTCGATGCTTGCCTCGGCAGAGCTGGAAAGAGTCCTCTTGGCTCGCTCGCAGGCTGTTCTCAGCCTTCGGACTGCACGGGCGTTGCATCTGAGGTCTTTGCGGTGTTTGCGCTTGAACTCTCCGCAGAAGTAGGTCACAAGCCGGTTGTCGAAGTCTTCACCTCCCAAATGTGTGTCTCCAGCCGTTGATCGGACTTCGAACATGGAGCCTTCGTCGATGGTCAGCACGGACACGTCGAAGGTGCCTCCGCCCAGATCGAAGATGAGGACGTTCTTCTCTCCCTTGAGGTTCTTGTCGAGTCCGTAGGCCAGTGCAGCTGCGGTGGGCTCGTTGATGATCCGCAGCACATTGAGGCCGGCGATAACTCCGGCGTCTTTCGTAGCCTGCCTCTGGGAATCGTTGAAGTAAGCAGGCACCGTGACCACAGCGTCGCTGACCTTCTGACCCAGGAAGGCCTCCGCAGTCTCCTTCATCTTGGTCAGCACCATGGCGCTGATCTCCTCCGGATTAAACCTCTTCCGCTCTCCTTTGAACTCCACGCTGATCTTGGGCTTGCCAGCGTCGTTCTCCACCTTGAAGGGCCAGTGCTTGAGATCATCCTGGATCTTGGGATCATCGAACTTTCGTCCAATGAGCCTTTTTGCATCGAACACTGTGTTCTCCGGGTTCAGCGCAGTCTGGGCCTTGGCTGCGTCTCCGATGAGTCGCTCGGTGTCGGTGAAGGCAACGTAACTCGGCGTCGTTCGGTTGCCCTGGTCGTTGGCGATGATCTCGACACGACCGTGCTGGAACACACCGACGCACGAGTACGTTGTGCCCAAGTCGATGCCGATGGCCGGCGCTCCGCTCTTAGTTGTGGATGGCATGGTTGCGTAGTTTGCTTCGCTTGACAGCTGAAGTCACAATTTGAAAATCGCGCTCTTTGTGTTAGCGGCGAAATGATTGCGGCTGCGAGCGCGCGATCCGCCTTTTGTACAACTCACTCGCCCTTCCAGAAGCTTCCAGAGAGACCGAGGTCGCATTTGGCGAATCAGCAGCGATTTCCGCCGTGACGTATATCTAGGAGAGCGCCCATTGGCCGGTTCGATATGGAAAGCTCTGGGAGCTTCCCGCGTCGTCTGCTCTATTCTGGTTCAGGAGAGCTGCGCTTGTTTTTACTGCAGCTTTTCTTTTAGTCTATCTGGGTACAAGTTTATTTTTGTTGGAGTTATAAAGAGAGAGAGAGAGAGAGAGAAAATATAAACAGTAATCAAAAATGATCAGAGCCGCAGTTTCAAATGAAACATAAATTGAATCATATGTGAGGTATTAATAAACTTATGTCGGTGCGGACGTTCATTCAAATGTCATATTTCATTCAAATCTAGGATACACGGTTCCATGTCCATACCATTTGTAACGTATGGTTTGTTTTGTTACAGAACGAAACACCAAAACACGGGTACAGCAGGGCAGATGTTTTGGCGATTGTTTTTCTTCCATTCCGTTATGGTCGAACTTCTCGTTTTGGACTTGTATCAAGAGATGGCGCCACCGATCCGTGCAGCGCAACGTTGGCGCAGCGCTGACGCGACGCGGAGCAGAATATGCCCGAAGTTCCTCGATGCTCCTACCCGTTTCGAAGTGCGCGCGTTACTCATCCACTCGTGACGGAATCGCCATCAACCAATCACATTACAAAGCGGCCTTTCTCTCTTCTCCTTGCCTAGAACATTCACGGGCTTTCGAGGCTTCCTTGAAACTCGCATAAAAGGCGCTCCGCGGGGCTCGTCTGCTACAAAACAACTCGCATTCGATCGAGTCGTGTTTCGAGAGCGCTAACTCAGTCCACATTCGACTACCTCGCTTCGGCATCGAGATGATCGTCTTCCCCATGGCTCCGATCTTCACACCGATGGACAGAAGTGCCTTCCCCGACTGCGGTTCCATGATAAGTCGGATGTTTGACGGCAACGACTTCGACGGCACTTTCTTCGACGGTATCGTACCTGTTGGACTCTTTCGGTGCCCGGATGATCGCCGCAGCTCTTATAAGGCGTCCAGTTCAAAGTGTCCGGCCTCCGAGGTGTCCCTGACTCCGGACAACTTTGCGCTGAAACTGGACGTCCGGGGCTTCGTCCCCGAGGAGATCAGCGTGAAGACCGTCGGAAACTCCGTCGAGGTGCACGCCAGGCACGAAGAGAAAGACCCCGAGGGACGTGGCTTCGTGATGCGCGAGTTTCGACGCAAGTACACGCTTCCCGATGACGTCGATCCGGAATCCGTGACGTCGCAACTCACAGGACGTGGCCTGTTGGCAGTCGAAGCCCTGAGGAAGAAGGCGGAGACGACACCACTGTCTGACACAGTCTCCATCCCTGTGGAGCACACGTCTTCCAACGTCGTCCCTTCAACGTCGCAAGAATCAAGTTAAGAAGATACGGAGTTTTTATTTTAATTTAACGCCTGTGATATTTTTTTACTTCACCTGTATACCTAGTTAAAAAGTCGAATAAATTATTTTTTTTTATCATAACTACATCTGCGTCTACCCTTTTTATCAGTTCCAAGCACGACTCCAGCCAACGTTTATCCACATTCCAAAACAGATTTTTCTTCTTTTTTTTTTTAGTTTCTAAGTTTGTCGCTTGGGGCTGGGTGCTTGAATACTGCATTTTGTAGCATGTTGCTAGTGTAGCAAACATGCTACAAAGTAAGTAACTTTGGAACACGCGCGTGAGGGTAACCCTCATGAGGGTTACCCTCACGAGGGCTACCCTCACCCCCGTGAGGGTTACCTTCGTGAGGGTTACCCTCACCCCTGTGAGAGTAACGTAACCCCCGTGAGGGCTACCCTCAGGCGCGTCACCCTCACCGGGGTTACCCTCGTGAGGGTTACTTTCGTAAGGTTAACCCCAACGTTACTAAAACACTCAGTTGGAAAGCTCCCATAAAGACAGCTTTGAAAAAGTGCCCCCAATCTGTCTCCGAGCACCGAGCTAATGACGAACACGACGCCACCATTTCTCCCGCAGAGGCCTCTCGAAGAACTGCACGTCACATCTATTTTGGCTTTGAGAACAGATACAGCGGTAGAGGTTACAGGGGTGCCACCCCCGTCTCCCCAGCGGACGCGCCGCGTTCAACTACCGACGTTAAAATGCACCTATACACCTTTTCCGCGTAGTCGTCGCCATCTTGCGTATTGCAGCGACAACCGCGCCGTCTGGCGTACGGTTGTTGTGCGCCCATTTTGGTATGCGGAGAGCAGCGTTGTTCCAAGCTCCCGCGTTGTCCCCATTGACCCCGTGCATCGTATCTTCCTTGTTTTCCCTTTAGTGAGTTCTTAATTTGTTTGCTATAGAAAGTATGAATTATTCTTGTGTTTTGGCGTGTTTATTCGCCTTCATGGCGCCCGTTGCTGCGCCAACAGCGCCGAGAGGTTCGTCGCCAGCGTCGCCGGTAATCGAAATCGGGGGCATGTTCACTTTTCCTGAGGACGTTTACCAGTGTTAACTCTTCGCGTGTTGTTGTTTATGAAGAATGACAGCCTTCTGCGAATGACTACCGGAGGGTTTCTATGCGCGAGCGAGGGCGACCCTACGACGCGGGCCGAACGGTTTATTGTTATGGTGCACCGTCGAGGTGCGATCGCTAGTTACCGGGACATCTCTACTTCGTATGACGCCCAGATGCGTCGGAACTATTCAGGAGATGGGGGCGAAAGGGGGGGGGGGGGGGGGGGGGGGGCGACGACGATTTTGCGCCCTCTTTTCGCATTGTTTCCATTAACGTATTTTACGGGCGTCGCTACCGAGCAACACACAAAAATATAGTGCACATCCTCGTAGGAATGAACGGAATGAAAAACAAAACTTGAGTAGCCAATAACAATCATTACACCCAGGATCTTACATTTGCACCACAAGCTGCAAAATTCGTTCTACATTTGACTTGTCGAGGTCTATTACTGCACTTGTAGATGTCCGTTTCTATTCTGCCTATTTGCTTTTTTTACGTGCTGATATTGCATCGCTTCCCCGCTGATATCAGCGGGGAAGCGACGCGAAGTATATACGTTACAGCCGCATTCGCTTTGCGACTTCTTGTGTTCGGTCCACAATTTGTCGCGCGCTATCTTCCGTTTTCGGAAATTGCTGCTGCAGCCAAAGACTGCGCAGTGGTAGCCCGATGACCAAATATGCGCGGACATGATACATCGACGTATTAACCCACCTTATTACAACTCTCTTCGCTGTCAAGGGCTTCAAAACCCATTTAACGCGCACCATTTCGGCACCTTGTCAGCCGGCTAGGCCTGCTCCCGCATACCGGAAGTGGTAGAACCGGAAGAACTATTCCCGCTGTGCGCCGAGTCGCCGAGTCGAGGCTAAGCACGTTACGCGCTGGGTCGAGGTTAGACGGAAAAGGTGTATAGGTCAGGACGTGCTACCTGAAAGGCCCGCTGAGGCATGGTTGTATGAAAACAATATTAATTGTTCCGCAAAACCTTGCGAACTAAAGATGATAGAAACATCACGCGCCCATCATTTGGTAATAAACTCCAATAAATTTCATACAAAAAGTCTTTTCCGTTTGTTTTTACGCAAAAGCAGGCTTTCAAAAAGCTCGAAGTGACCATAGTACAGACAAACGAAAAAGAGTGGCGCTGTTGTCGCATTTAGCTCGGTCTCGGTGGACGCCAGCGGCCCAGGTTTCGATGGCGAGTTTCCCAACTGAGTGTTTTAGTAACGTTGGTTAACCCTCGTGAGGATAACCCCCGTGAGGATTGCGAGGGTAACGTCAATACGTTATCCTCGTGACACGACGTCTGACATCATTATGGGAAACACGTGACGTGCGAAGTCACGTGTGACGTCACGCGACGTATGACGTTACTCGTGACGTCACGTGGTGTCTACGCAGATGTAACATTAGGGAGTTTTAGTAGACCGTTTCCGCAGCCTGTTAAGCACCCGCATAGCGCTCCGTAATCCGCCACCAGACCTTGAACTATGCAGACAAGGCTGGCGGCGCGCATGCGCAGCTGTGGCGTTTTACAATACAATACAATACAAAAACCATCTTTATTTACTTTGTTTGAAAATAATACAATATAAAGCCCACATAAGCCAATGATGGCTTGTGTGTGGGACGCGACAGGAGCCTCTGCATTTTTATTGCACACATAACTAAAAATAACAAAACATACCAATATTAGTACCTATTACTGCAGTTCCACCTCCTTCTACAGCGTATATTAGTTCGCGTACTTTGATGAGTACATGTGTAAACCCATCCAATCATATTGAATTAGCATTTACATACCGTAAAGAAAATTAGAATTCACGACTTACGAGACAATTCTAAGAATAGAACACAATAACAACCTTTTATATCCTGCGTTTCGGGGATACTCATCGGTTATACCTATTACCTTTTAGAATCTTTTTTTCCCTGTTGAATTATCCACTTTTGTGCTATTTTTTTTTTTTTGCTATTTTTTTATTTTTTTTTTTATTACAGATATCTTAGAAGAAGAGAAAAACGATCTACTACACCTTCCTATTGCCAATATTCCCACTAAATTTAGCTGGGAAGGAGAAGGCGCATACCCTCCCCACCGTATCCTACCATCCTCCTCCTCAAGAGCTCCGCTCCAATTCGGCGTTACAGAGAATTGTAAACGTCTTTCATGTTTTTTGCTTGAATTGATAGCTCGTATTGACATATCACGCTGTACAACGTACACCTGGACCTGAATTTTCTCGAGCAGAAGAAAAAAAAAACATTAACTAAATAAATTACACTTTTATAATGTGAATAAATCTACATAGTACCCGTTATACGAGTAGAGAAACTGCGTTGATTTCTATTATTCCCTGGTTCAATTCTGTCTGTCTTTTCAATTTGGTGTCTGCTTCAGCTTGCAATGGGAAGTCCCGTAGACTAGTAGACACTAGCTCAAGCTGAACCTCTATAGCGTTTATTGTAATAACACTGTTTTTTTGTTTTTTTTCACTCGCTTTCTCGGGTGTTTTTGCTCTGCACATTTTCAACTGAAGAGAATAGGGCGAACGTGCGTATGCATCGAGTTTTACTTGATGCAGGATAGGTGTGTGTTTTTTGTTATTGTTTCTACAATCAGCACACTTCGCAATGTTGCAAGGAACGCCCAGACATCTATCTCAGACATTCGTATGGTTATCATAAGTTTAGTGTGTGCAGACTTGGTACCGCGATTTACTAGACTTTGGATATATGCCATAATTGACATCCTCAGGGTTTAGAATGCCAGTTCTGATGACTGCTAATATTATAATCATTTTTTTTTTTTAATATAACCACGCGCTATTCTGCGTGTTATGAAAGTCAGAGTCGCGAGCGAGCAGGCTTAAAGACGCTGTCGTGCGAGGGCTCATTGGACAAGAATCCAGTGAGCCCTCGCCTGCGCACTAAAATCGTTTTACACTCTTAAGGGTGTAAATCAGCTTGTCCCAGGGCTAACACCCTAAGGGTGTTCCCCAAACACACTTGGGATGTTGATGAACGCACAAAAAATAGGATGCTCCTCGTTTTAGTAGCATACTACAGATAGTTTTTACGAGCACCATGTTGACAAACAAAAAGCATCATGTATACAGTTATCAAATACACAGAGACGGCAAACACGGATGTTATGGATCACGTACGAGAGAAGAATCATGTGAATGTTGACTATCCACAGGTGCACCACTTCCGCAATTACGGATATTACAGGTATGTTGCTTCGTTCTAGTCAATATTTCGCGTAATACAGAATGTATCTAAGTTCAAGGGGTGGGGGGGGGGGGGGGGGGGGGGGGGTTTCCAGGTCAGATCGTACAATGACTGTCCGGGTAATATTTCTAATATTTCTGTAAGAAATACGTGTGAAAGCCATGTTCTTGGTAGGAACATTCGGCTATATGTGTACGCCGCAGCATGATTTTTTCCACAGATATTCATTCATTCATTCCTCCCACTTCAGCAAGATCGATGTGAGCACGGACGCCGGACGGACAAGGCTAGACCCTCAGGAGCTTCGCCCCTAATAAAAATTTGAGAAATCGAGGCGAGGACATTGCCGAGATTTCCCTTTGGTAACTTGCACACCATCTCCAGTGTCACATCAAAAAAAAAAAAAAAAAAAAAAAAAACGTAATAAAAAATATATTTAACTGCGTGCCCTAATTGTTTTAATTAAAAAATTTGTAAAATTTGAAGAAAAAATATTTTATACACAATTTACAATATGCACACCAAATATTAAAAATTACAAGCTAATTATATATTTCTAAACAACAAAATTACGAAACACGTAAAAAAAGCACGTTTTGGAGACACGTTCACAAATTATTTAGCAACAAACAATGTTATGCAAAACGTCGCAAAATATATCAAAATATGAGTCTTCTGATACAGATTAGGAATCATTAAAAAAAAT